CTTGTTTAGTACTCTTTAATCTGAAGATTCATGTCTGCCCTCATTTCTGGATAATTCTCAGTCATTATTTCTCTTAACCTTGCCATTCTCTTCCAGTGGAACTCTTGTTAGATCTATCTCAGATCTTTTTATTTTACCTTTTGTGTCTTTTATTCCCTCTTTTATATTTTCCAGATCATTTTTTTCTTTGTTTGGATGGAATTCCTCAGTGCTGTCATTAAGTACACTAATTATTTCCTCAGCTATGTTTAATTTGCTTTTTAAAAATTGTGGTAAAATATACATAACATACAATTTACCTTTTTAACCATTTTTAAGTGTACGGTTAAGTGGCATTAAGTACATTCACATTGTGTGCAACCATCAATATTATTCCTCTCCAGAACCTTTTCATTTATCAAAACTGAAACTGTAGCCGTTAAACAACAGCTCCTCATTACCCTTTCCCCATGTCCTGACAATCACCATCCTACCTTCTGTCTGCATTTGACTATTATAGGTATCTTGTATAAATGGAATCATAGAAGTCTGTCTTTTTGTGTCTGGTTTATTTCACTTAATATAATATCTTCAAGGTTCATCCATGTTATAGCATAGATCAGAATTGCATTTCATTTTAAGGCCAAATAATATTTTATTGTATGTATATACCACATTTTGTTTATCCAGTCATCTGTTGATGGACATATAGGTGTTTCCATCTTTTGGGTATTATGAGCAATGCTTCTATGAACATGGGTGTACAAATGTCTGAGTTCCTGCTCTAATTTTTTGGGGTATGTAGTTTATTATGTTATGTATTTCCTTTATGTCTGTCATTATGAACAACTTGAAGATAGTTGATTGTCTCAGCAGTTTGGTTATTTCTCTTATCAAAACTCTGCTTGTTGGCAGAAAGTTACATAAGTCACATCTCATGCAGACTCAAAAACTGTTAGGCAAGAAAATCTTTTCGTCCTCTCGAGGTGAAAGAAAAGTTTCAATGAAGTCAAAACTAAAATTGGAGTTGAATTATAAACAGAAGAAAGAGGAAGGAATTCTTTCAAAAAAAATCAGTGACAGTGATTTTGAAAACCTTTTTGTTTTATTTTTCAGGAATGTTTAGGTGTCCATAATGTCAGTAAACCTGTGTCTTCACTTTGTAATGGAATACATTTTCTACTTCACTCAAAAGTTCTGTATGAAATCTCTGCATTTGGCATTCAAGAGCCCAAAAATGAGGTATGGCTTGTTCAAAATAAGTGCCCAAAACTGCGTAATTCTTTAGATACTCAGCTAAATCAAGGTAATATCCTAATATAATTAGATAATATGATGAGAAATGGAAAAGAAACTTGTCTTTGATGTATGGGTTCAGTTGAGGTGTTTATTTAAATAAAAAGAAATGTTAAAGAAAAGGTGAGAATCAAAATACAGGTCATACTTGTTCTCAAAGAATTCAGATAAAACTGTTTACTGATGTTTTTCATCTAGTACATAGAAAACTGTATGGTAGTTGTAATAAGCAGGTTATGTGATTAAGTGACATTTTCATTCAGTGAAGAATATACCCTAAAGGTAAAAACAGGAAATCATTAAGCAGGGGAGACTGGCTGGGGGCAGGATGTCAGAGGGCGTTACGGAAACATGAACATTTGAAGGAAGAGATGTTAATTACGGTAGCTTCCCAGATTTTGTATGATGTTACAGGTACGTAAGCTGACTTGGGGACGCCTCGTTTTGTTGGTTGTTGCGTGTCGTTGAGCAGGTGAATGCTGCTGCCAAGGCCATCCTGCTGTACCTCCTGCAGGGACGGTTGATGATGACAGCGCAGACCTGGACCAAGTTCATCGAGGCGCTCTGCCCTGTCATTCCAGTGCTTCAGGTAGCTGGGTGGGTCCCCGGGTGCGACACCATTCATCGTCGGTGAGGTGAAGGGTTTCAGCGCTGCCCAGCGGAGCTGGCCTGTTGGAGCGAAGCCGTGAAGGCACCCTGGCTGAGTGAACAGGCAGTGGGTGGCTGTCGTGTTTCTGGCGGAAGGTCACACCAGGGTCGCTGATTTGTGTGCACCTTATACCTGGGTGGGAGGTTAAGCAGTGTGCGCGGGCGTTTAGCAGCGACTGGAAGGTAGAACTCAACCTTACATGAATGCTTTCAGGCAAAGCTAGCAGTGCTTTTTAAGCAGCCGTTCCATAACTGAATGTGCTTCGATAATTCTGTCCATGCATCTATGTGACTAGAGTGATCCTTTGATTAATAAGCTCTTGGAGGAAACACAGCATTTTCATCGGTTCTTCTGGGCGCTAGAGGAATGCGGGAGGTCAGGTGTCGTCGTCGTCCCCCCGCCCCCCCACTCCTCCCCTCCCAATGAGAAGGCGGAGGAGGGGAACTCCATTACAGCAGCCGTCGGAACCTTAGGCAAGCCGGGCCTCTCGCCCTGATGCCCACGCGGCTCAGCTCCACGCGGCTGCGTCTGGAACACGCCGCCTTTGTGCTGTGGGGTCGGGTCTGCAGATGTGGGGTCGGGTCTGCAGATGCGGGAAGTGCCTCACTAGGGAAGGTGCCACCACTGGAATCTCAGAAAATAGAAAAATTGGCAAGTGTCAAGAGAGTAGCATGCTTTCCTGAAGTTCTTCATGATTATTTTCTAAATACGGTTGTAGGCAGGTTTCCTACCTCATGTAGGCTAATATTTTGAAAAGTGATTTTTCAACTGAATTGAGAGAAATTTGGGAGTTGCCTGACTAGTGAATACAAATCTTATTTTCAAGTTAAGAAGTGAAGAAATAATGTATCAGATGAAACGGTGTTTTGTGTTTGTTGAAACCTGTTAGGGCTACGCTGACACAGAAGACCCTTTGGGTAATTGCATTCTCCTTCTAAGCAAAGCGAGTTCTGAGGGCGGCGAGGGCGTCCTCCCCTGGAACACCCGGTTGAAGTCCATGCTGCGACTCCTGCTGGTGAAGAAGCCGTCGTAAGTACAGCGGCGTCTTCTGAGTGTACGAGTGATGGCCGCAGGTGTGGCCGTTCTGTCCACCTGAGACGGTGGAAGTGCAGACGGCAAAGGGAAGTGAGTCTCCACTCAGACAGGAGAGGACACCAGTGCGTGAGGTTGTAACAGATGCGGGGCTTTGAACGCTTTCCTGCCACACGTCTGCGTCCGCCAGCCCGGCGGTGAGACCAGTGGGAGCTGCAGCAGGGCCAAGTGGGGTTCGGGGGCGCTGTGGGCAGGTGGGGAGCCAGGGGATCAACAGCGCAAAATTACAGAGCATTGGACTTGGCTCCACTCTTTAGAAGTTGTTAGCCTCCTGAGATCTTTTTCTAAACATTTGTTCCAAAAATTAAGTTTTTCATGAGAGGCGGTGGACCAGTTGCCTCATGTCCCAGCGTATGTGGGTATCTTGACCTCGCCTGGCTTGTCCTCTTATTTGAGGAAACTGAAAAAGTGTCCGTTCCTCCCCCGTGAGTGTGCGTCAGCATTCTCTAACTTTAGGGAGAAGCATGCAGTCTCCCTTCCCTCCTGGTCCATGCAGCCCGAGTGCTCTCTGCGGCTCTCCGTGGGGCACAGTGGCCAGCGTTGCCCTCCCTGAGGGGAGAAAGAAAGCTTCGAGTCCAGAAGGACAAGCAGTGACGAAGAGGAAGACCCGGGTGGCGAGGTTCGGAGGAGCACACAGTGTTCTTCTGGCAACGGACAGTTTAGATCTCCCCAGACCTCGCATCAGGATAACTCAGCGGCCTATTTATAAATAGATGCCTGGACCGAAAAAAAGGAAGTAGGTGGAAATAAAACCATCAGACAGCAGAAGGAGGAAAGCTGAAAGAAGGGACTGAGAGCCCCTGTGCAGTGTGGAGCACAGCTACGGGCAGCGAGGAAGCAGCGGGGCAGGTGGGGGAGTGTCTCCACTCCCGGGGCCTGGCCGCCTCCACGCGGGCCCCGGAGGCCCCGGGTGGCACCTGCAGCGAGGGGCTAGTACTTCCTACCCGAAATTTGGTGATGGAGTACAGTCGAAGTTAGTTTCCTGTTCACCTTTGGGGGCCCAAGGTAAAAACAGACATTGGTATCAGGCAGGACGTTCCAGGGACTTGGCGATCCCCTGCCGGGAGCTGAGGGCGAGGCCAGACCTCTCTTTGGGCAAGACTCTATTACATGGAATGATGACAATATGGATTCTGTATTTGTTTTTATTTGATTAATTCTCCCTCATCCCACCAGACCATACACTCCATCAGACAGGAACCCTGTCCACTGGCTAATCTTTACATCGTCAGCACTGCAGAGAGTACCTTGGACATAAATATGCTCAAAACATAGTCGTTGAAAGAAATAGGTGTAGAGGAATAACCGGCCTCTGGTGCCTTAGGCTAAACCTAAAAAGATGCTAAATTTGCATACCAGAAGGGGAGATGGGTAAATACATGCTTTATATATCCCACTCTAGCTGTCTTAAGAGTGGTGGTGGCTGTCCCTAAACTGACAACCCCAGATTTTAATACGGAGAGCTTTGGCTTATAATGAAAGGAGCAAAGGAAAAGCATATGTAGGTGTTAGCTGCTCTGAGCTTGCAGGAGGCAACAGCAAATGGGAGAGGGAGACATCTGCCTGACCCCTCACACCATCGTGGAGTAAATATTAGTCCTGCGAAGTTGATATTAATAATACTATAGTAAATTCCTGCTTAGATTTTGGTCACACTTATTAAGTGTCTACTGTGTACCTAGGAGCCGTGATTGGCTGTGGGAACAGCAGCACACAGAGCAGACAGGCCCTGCCCTTCCTGAATTGGGCACACAATTCAGAAGAGAGAGCTTATCAGTTATACTCCAGTAATTGCTGTAAAGCGAGACCAGTGTTATGATGGGAGGCTTCCTAACAGCGTTATGATAGGGCGGCAGGACACAGCAAGGTGACCCAGTGGTGGCGAGGCGGGGGGCCTCCCTGGGGATGCAGGGTTTAATTGCTGTCTTATACTAAGACGTGGAACTTGGATTATCCCTTAAAATTTGCCCAGTTTCCATGTAGTTCAAGAACCTGCCAGAGGAGTGACAGGTGACTGGTTCTCAGTAGCTTCCAGCTCAGGGCTCTTCGTCCACTTGATGGGTTTTCTGTGTTTCCATTTCATTGTCTCATGTTGTGCAGTATTTAATCTTTTTTTGAAATCTCCCACCTTGCACTCAAGTGACCTTAATCCTGATCCATTCCAGATAAAATAGAATTTTGATGGGAATCAAAAGTGTTTCCATTTTCATATTTGAGAGAATCTGTTTGACCCCTAATGTAACATTTTTATACATTGTTGTGATATCACACTTCGGTTATCAGTGTGATCACTCCCCGGAGGTTGAGCCTCATGTTTAGACTCTGTTCATGGACCTGTGGTAATTTTTATGATTGATACAGATCAGTAGGCTTGGAGTCAGGAGTTACAGATTGAGTTTGCAGGGTGACTTATTGAAGTTCACAGTTATACTGTGAGGTTGACAGTCTCAGTGAGCCTGTCTCTTCATTTGTAACTACTGATTATTCTTTAGTCCTGATGTTTATTTATAAATGTAAAACTGAAAGAATAATTGTAGTTATGTACTAAATATTTTAATAGAAAGAGTAAAATCTTATCTGTAATGTTAGTATAAGTATGGCTAATTATTGTGTTGATAATGTAATTAAGTTGCTGTGATGATAGGGCTTTATAATGTATAGACATTTGTATATTACAGAATGCTGACTTACATCCTTTGTTCCTTCAGGGTCCGTTCGCTGGCGTTGAAGCTTCTAGCATGTCACCTCACAGGGGAGGAAGGGGCTGACAGAAAGCGCCCTTCCATCGATGCCAGAGTTCTCTCCCGAGTTATTAATTTATTCATTGTGAAAAAGCCTATAGAACTCAAATTGGATGACAGAAGAGAACTGATTATTAAGGTGACTGTAACTTTTGAGTTTATACTGTGTGGTTGTTTGATAGGTTTGTGTATCATGTACCTTCTGCTCCATCCTTCAGTGGGTGTATGTACAGCGAGGGGGGGACATGGGCGCTTCGAGTCTGGTCACTCAGGGCTGGTTTGAAATTGTGCTCTGGATACATTGATACATTGAACAGCTATTTCTTGAGTGCCTGCTATGTGCCAGGCGCTGTGACCCTTTTCATTTAGTGTATACGCTGGACATGCAGTTCCTTTGAACAGTATCTGAAGTTCAACATAAGGCTAATCTAGTGGGAAGAAATTCTGTGATGACTCTTAAAAAATACATATCACTGACGTAAAACTATTGGGGACTCTTCTTGTTCTTATGTTGGCAATTGCCTAAAACAGCGAAAAAGACAAAGTTCCTATGCCAAAAGTTTTCAGCCTCTTCGCTATGAGCAGAAAACCAGAATCCGGGGGCAAAGGCAGTTTCTCTGAGGTGTAGAGCAGCCCCAGACTGTGGCGGTGCTGTGCAACCTCCCGGAACACAGCGGCTTTTTAAAAACGGGAAATGCATCAGTGAGCTTCTGCCCCAATGTCTGGGGCCCTGTGATGGCCTTGGCAGGAGGGAGGACTGCCGAACCTTACCCCAGCCACGTGCCAGGTCCTGCTGGGGACTCCCTGCACGCTAACCACTGGCCGTCACTCCTGTGCCCTCTGTGTGGCAGAGCGGAAGGGGGGTGTTCTAGAACTGTCCCGTGAATCCGTGTTAGGGCTTGCAGATGGCAGTGGGGGAGGGGGAAGCAGGAATGTGGTGTTTGGTGTTCTCTTCTCCCCTTTCCCCCTGAGCTTTGTCACCTCAGGCGCTGCCCTGGCATGAACTGACAGCCAGGGACTGGTATTGGGAGTGGCTTTGTTGGCGTGCTGGCAGCAGGTCCTAGAGAGCTTCTGCTTCGTGGTCTCTAAGAGGGAGGAAAGGGAGAGAGCCAAGGGCGTCCCAGTGGTCGTCTCTGGGAGCATCAGAAAAGACCCTGTCACATGTCTGGGGTGCTGGTGTCAGGGCTGTGTGGCGCACTCTGCAGGGATGTCCCCCGGAAGCTGTGCAGGTGCTCGTGGCTTATGGGTGACTGCCTAGGAAAATAGACATCAGCAGAGGCTCATTTGACACAACGGCTCTTTGTTTTAGGTCCTAAGTTCCTCCCTGACCTAGCACATCGTTGTTGCAAGTTTATATGTAAACGTATCAGTTACTTAAGTAAGTTAACTTTTTGAGCTTTTCTTCTTAAGGTGTGAACTGTGTGTATAAAATTTTATTGGGAAATTGGAAGTAAATGAAAAACATTATTTTGTTTTTTATTTGCAGTTGGAGACTGTTGAAAAGGTGTATGAAATCTTTATCTCAGATGACATTGACCGTGTTTTGAGAAAGTCAGCTGCAGAACAGTTAGCTGTGATTATGCAAGGTAATGTCTTCTGAAACGGTTGCTGAACTGTTGATAATGGGAGTTTAGATTGCTGTGTAGCAGTGTCAGGGGGGCAAGCCAGGGTTTGTGGGCCAGATCCGGCCTGTGGCCAGTCTTTCTTTATAGCTCGTGTGTTAAGAATGGTTTTTACATTTTTAAAGAGTTGTTAAAAAAAACCAAAACATAATGTTCTCTAGGTCCTTCCATATCGTTGCAAATGGTACAATTTCATTCTTCTTTATAGCTGTGTCAGTGTACCACAGTTTCTTAATCCAGTCGTCTACCAAGGGGCATTTCGATTATTTCCAAGTCTTGGCTATTGTAAACAGCGCTGCAATGAAAACAGGGGTGCACATATTTTTCCGAATTAGTGTCTTGGGTTTTTCTGGTAAATACCTAAGAGTGGAACTGCTGGGTCATAAGGTAGTTTTGTACACCTGAAAATAATAATAATAATAATAATAATAATAATAATAATAATAATAATAAACAAAACAAAAAAACAAAACAAAACCAGAAACAAAAAGTATGTGACAAAGACCATCTATGGCCAGGAGAGCTGAACCCGTTTAGTATCTAGATCCTTACAGAAAAAGTTTGTTGACTCCTGGTCTGCATTATCATTATTTGACCTGTAGACTGTCATTTGATAGAATTAACTTCCTTCTAAAATATTGATATAATTCTAACAGTAAATTGCATGTTCCTTTCTCAGTTTACCTAGTACATGTTTTCAGTTTGATCCATCTTGCTTAGAGAAATCAATCAAACAGTACTTTGTGGGTGGGTAAAATAAAAAGAATGTACTGTAGCTATGTATTTTCTTTAAAGGCTTATTTTTTTTAATTAAAGTTTATTGGGGTGACAATTGTTAGCAAAGTTACATCCACGTAAGGTGTACAATTTTGTAATACATCATATATATAGATATATATATAGATATATATAGATATATATAGATATATATCACATTGTGTGTTCACCACCCAGAGTCAGTTCTTACATCACCATATATTTGACCCCCTTTAACCTCTTCTACCACCCCCTCCCCCTTTACCCTCTGGTAACCACTAAACTGTAGTCTGTGTCTATGAGTCCTGTCTCTATTTGTTGGGTTTTTTTTTTTTCTTTTGTTGTTTTCAGTTTTATATACCACATATTAGTGAAATCATATGGTTCTCTACTTTTTCTGTCTGACTTATTTCGCTTAGCATTATAACCTCAAGCATTATAACATCCATGTTGTCACAAATGGCACTATTTCATGTTTTCTTATGGCAGAGTAGTGTTCCATTGTGTATTTATACCACAACTTCTTTATCCAGTCACCTTCGAAGGGCACTGGTTGTTGCCATGTCTTGGCCGCCGTAAATATAGCTGCAGTGAGCATCGAAGGATATATACTTTTACAAAATCCCATTCATGAGGGGCTCCACCCTCGTGACCTAACCACCACCCAAAGGCCCCACCTCCTAATAGCATCATGTTGGAGATTAGGTTTCTGTATATGAATTTCGGGGGGCCATAAACATTCAGTCCTTAGCAATGTGCACATACACGTACCGGTATATGCTTATAAAAAGAATTCGTATTCTTTAGAAGTATAGAGCGTATGTTACAATCCCCCCCCCCTTTTTTTTTTGCTACTAACAGTTTGAGGTTAGAGATCTTTTAGTAACAGAAGTATGATCATGTTGCAAATCATACGCGTATTTACACATTAACTTGTGGAGAATTCTAAATATTTTGAGGTGATGAATTTAGAAAAGAGAAGAATTGTTGATGAAACAATATAAAGAAAGTAATGTCATGTACAAATAAAAGGATTCATTTGTATGCATAAAATTTGAGTCCTTTCCAGAGTCTGAACTAGTTCATTTTTCTTTTTTAAACAGTTTTATTATTTACATTGCAGGAGTAAGATGCGCTTGTTACTTAAAAGTTTTCAAATTGTTGAGATGTATATTAAGTAAAAAGTTTAAAGTTTTATCCTCTAATTTCATCATCAGGTATAACTATTTTTAATAGTTTGAAAATTATGTGGATATCTGTTCTGTATTTTTAAAGCAACAGAAAATGTTCTTTAACTTTTAGTAACTTTTTTTTTGTCTACAGATATTAAAATGCATGCTGTGGTGAAAAAGTTATGCTTAATTGACAAGATAATTGAGTATTTAAATGAATGTGTGGGTCAGGATGGTGAGGTAAGACTAATGTGTATCTGAACATACTTTTACAGATTGGTATTTTTATTAATCAGATCTGAAAGTGAATGCAGCCGAATTTGGGTAAGTACTGGGCCGTTTAAATCCTGAATAACACCCAGTGCCTTGTTCATTTTTTATTTCTAAGAGTAGGTCTCTGGTAAAGGAAAACTAATCGTAACATTTCTACAAAATGTGTAAGCAGATGTATATACAAAGCTTATTTTCTCATAATTCTTAATATTTATTTGCATTTTTGTTTCACACGGTTTTGATAAAGAGCATACCATTTAGAATAAGACTATGATAAGAATGTAATATACAGACACCGGAGCGTATTTCGTCTCACCTTAGAACTGCTGAAAATGGAATAACACTGTTCCCTCCCGGCCAGGCTGCGGAGTGCCTGATCCAGCCGAGCCTCACGCTCCTGAGGAAAGTCCTTTGTGCCGACCCGGACGCGCGTGCTTCCCTCTCACAGCAGCCTTCCCTCCTGACCCTGTTATTCAGAGGTGAGTAAAACACGTTCTGCTAATGCAGCCAGCCTGGAGCCTTCAGAGCTTTAACTGCAGGTAACAGTTATTCTCCATTTTACTAACAGAACAGCCAAGTTTTTTAGTCACTAAAAACCCCATTGTGGTAGAATATGTTTAACACTTTTGCGGAAGTTTCCTGATACTCCTCTTAACTGAGGAGACCTTTGAGCTGAGACAGGCTGAAGCCTCGCTGTGCTCGGTGCCCTGATGGAGCTAGTCTGGTGCTCAGTTCACTATGGTCTCTAACGAGCAGAGCTGCAGCTGCCGTCCTTACTGCCTTCTTCCCAGCGTGTTTCCTCATTCTTGGTTTGCTTGTGCCTTTATGTCCTGACCCTTTGGTGTGATACCTGATTCTGTTGTTCAGCGGGCCCCAAGAGTAGACCCAGCCTGTGAGGGGTGGGGGCTGGGCCAAACTGAATGACTCGGAGCATTTATTTATTACATTTTATGAAGTACGATTTAAAAAAAAAAAAACAACCCCATTTGGTTTGGATGTAATTTAGTAATGTGTTAAGATGGAAAAATTCCATGTAATTTTGTTATCTTTTTCTTCTCTTCTAATTAAATATTCTACAAGAGACATCTTGATCAAAGATCTCCAT